TATAATTATAATTTTAAAATTGTATCATTTTTTTTCTCTTCAAAAATTATTAGCTAGCATAGAAAAAAAGAATATATATAACTTTAATATTATAACTATACATATAATAGATAAAATTGAAGGATAAATCAATCATAAGTTGAATTACTTGAAATGGTTATAGGGAGCCCCTCATGAAAATCGATCAAATTACGTGCTGTTAATGTTAACTGTGCTAACTGCACTTTTGAAATTTAATTTTATTTTTCAACGGTAATAATTATATGAGATATATGTCTTTTCAGCTACAGAAAAGAGGATTTATCTGCAGCAGTTACGTATTTTTTAGGATACGGAACCATATATTGAGAAGCATATGTCAGTCACATGTTTTTTAGGATACAGAACTATATAATGAGAAGCAATAGCGAACTTAGAAAATTTTATTTATGTCTGCTCATTTAGGTAGCGCTGAATTTTTTTTTAATGCATTAAAAAACAAAAAAATATAAACAAAAAAAGAAAAAAAAACTTCAACTTAACATAAAATAATAATAATCAAGAGTCAACTAAACTATCATAATTTCAAGCAATGATTATTTGTTAAGATTTTTATTTGTATAGAGATGCAAAATAATCTTGTCTTATTTTTTATTATTATTTTAATATTAGATATAATTATATATCACAAGTGAGGGTAAAAATTATGACAAAATTATTATAAATATTGGTAAGTGGGTCTTTGATATTAAGAGGCTCAAGATCATATAAACTAGCTGGCCAATAATATAAGATGGTGGTATTAGTCTTTGGAAATGTGTAAGCCCAGCCATTAGGCTCAAGATCACATAAACTTGTGTCTGCAAGTGCCCACACTTAATAGTGTGGGTCCGCCATTGCTGAAAAGCAGGTGTGTAGATAACTTCTCTTCAGCAAAAAATGAATAGTGTCCTAATTATATTTTATATGATATATGTTTTATGGAAAAATGACTTGTTCTTTTAAATGACTTAAGTTATATTTTTTAGCTATTTATAACTATATATTTTAAAGAGTACATAATTATAATATTAAAGTTATATTATTTTTTCTTTCTTCAAAAATTATCGACTGACGTGAAAAATAAAAAAAATACAAACTTAATAGGGAAAAATGTTTATCCTTTTAAATGACACAACTTATATTCTTTCACTCTCACAAAGAGGTGGGACCCACACCTTTATTTTTTTTTGTCAACTCTCTCTCCTCCTTTATCTATCTCTTTCTCTCTCTTAAAATGACACAATTTTACATCCTTTAAAATGACACACACTTTACCCAACTTAATATTATAACAATGTATTTCCCAAAATATAAAGTTATAAAAAATTAAAAGGATATAACTAAGGTCCATAAAAAGAAAAGAAAAAATTCTCAATTTTTATTGATGAAATCTTGTGCAATTGTTTCAAAATCATAGAAAACCCAAATCCTTTCACAACAACTAGCTTACGATTGCCGGGCAAATCAGGTTCCAAATCCGAGATGGATAATTGGATATGGTTCCAAGTCCGTGATGAATGTAGTGCCGTAATTCACATCCCTGTTATCGTACTTGTCTGTGAAGTGATTGTGCCATAAATTTGATTAAAACTCTTGGATGAAAATAAATTTCCACGGATAGAAGAAATTGATGGCGAAGGAAAAAAAGAAATATAATTTTTATGTTACATTTCAATTTTATCTCGTTCACCCAAAAAAAAAAAAAAAGGAGTTAGTGAGATCTACCTAGAGCCCGTTTGTTTCGCCTTCTTCAAAAAGTAATTTTTATCTCTTTCTTAATTTAAAAATATTTTTTACAAGCTATTTATATTTTTATAAAAATATTTAGTTTTTGAAAAATAATATTTGACTTTTGACTTTTGTTTTTTTTAGAAGTTAAAATTTTTAGCTTCTAAAAAAAAGTAAATTTTTGACTTTTTTATGACTTATGTTTTTTTAAATGCAATATCCAAACGCACTACAAATGAAAAGTGTTTTTTTTTATAAAAAAAATAGCTTTTGAAGAAAAAAAAAGTTCATCCAAACGAGTTCTTAGTACAAAAGAAACTCACTTTTATTTTTATTTTTGTATATCTGAAACTCACTTTTATTATGTGTTGCGTAATCAACCCGTAACCAAAAAACTAGGCATGGCAAAAAGGAGCCTCGTAACTCAGCTAAAATGAGTCGGGTTGGTTAGGAAAAATGAGTTAGTAACTCGAGTCAGCCCGACTCGTTTCAGCTCGAAAAAAATCGAGCCAACCCACGGGTCAAACGGGTTGGCTCGCAGGTTATGATTTTTATTTTTAATATAAATTATAAAAATGAATGAAGGTAAGGTGGAAATCTAAAACCTAAATTCTCAATTCCAAAGATCTAAACAAAAATACTCTGTAGATGCCAATAAGTCCAAAATCGTGCATTAAGGACCTTTTTTATAGTATGTGTGACAGTATGAATGTAATGCCAACTGCCAATAAGTCCAAGTCCAAATGCAAAAGAAATTTTTTATAGTTTATCTATATAATATTTTTGTATTGAATGAATTAATAATTTAAGAAAAAAATTTAGAAGTTATAGCATCAATAAAATTTTATTTTATCTTCTATTTTTTCGAGCCAACTCTAAACCGACTCGAGTCGGGTTGGATTGAATTTTCTGCCTCGTTTATTTTTTAAGGCAACTCTAATCTGGCTCATTTTTTTCGGATTGAACACGGGTTGGGTCGAATTAAGTCGGGTGGCCCGTTTTGCCAACCCTATTAAAAAAAACCCATCAACTCGCCGATGAACCATCCAAATATATTCTCCCGATCCGTACATGATAAATGGATTTTTTTTTGCAGGATTCTCGTCCAACGCATAACTTAAATAGAATGATTGTCGACAGGGATATGGAACATGACAAGTTACATCACACGGGACAGAACCAGGTGATGTCAGTCTTACACTAAATTGAAATGAAAAGCATAATTTGCATTTATGATAATTTTTTTTCTTCTGTTTTTTGCATAATTTTTTTATCATACTCATTTAAGTGAGAAATTTTATTGAATTTTTTTTATAATAGCATCCATTCACTTTTATATAAATATATAAAAAATAAATTTTGATAATAAAAATATTATTCCCGTTTATATAAAAATATAATGTCGTAATGACAAAACCGAAAAATTAACTCCGATGAAACTTAACTACGAAGAAAAGACATGCACTTGTCAAGTATTCAAATATCTTCTTACTAGATCAATAAAAATATTAGTTTTGAAAAATCCCAAAAATTATTTTATTAATAGAAGATTATTTTACTGATGATTTATAAAAATTTAATTGTATCTAATGTTGATTGAAGAAAATTGATTATTAATTTAAAAAACGAAAAAATATTTTAAATGAAATACTAATTAAAGAACAATATTGATTTGATTTCATATAGAAATTCAATATATATACAGGCAAGATTCTTTAATACTGTTCTCAAACTAAAAGTTTGATACCAAATCTTACATGGTCCACGTGGATCTCACACACTTTTTAATATATATTTTGATGAATATTAGATAAATTTTTAGAAACTTTAAACTATATATATATATATATATATATATATATATATATATATATATATAAAAATATTTTTCAAGCAGCTTGAGATAAGTTTATCTCCGGCCATTCTAAAACTACGACGCTTTATTTATTTATTTCCTTATATTAATTGATTCACCTTTGAATGATTATGATTCTTTTTTCTCTCTCTTCCTTTATAACCATTGATCCATCTTTGTACGGTTATGATTTAGTAGTCGAAGATAAGATTATCTCAAGCAGCTTGAGAAACGACAAGCCCTATATATATAGGTAGTAAATCAAGCTGCTTGAGAAATGTTTTTTTCCATATATATATATATATATATATTTACAAACTTTTTTGTTTACAAACTATACTAAGTACGACCGGTCATACTTTAATCATGCACTGTACGACCGGTCGTACTTAGTGTAATTTACAAAAAGAATTTGTAAACGGATCCTATCCATATATATATATATATATATATATATATATATATATATATATAGGGATAGGTAAAATTATTTTTCCAACCGCTTGAGGTCTAATAATGGCAGGTGTGTAATTATGATTTTCAACATTTAATACTTTGATGGTTATAAATTCTCACATTTAATAATGTCATATATATATATATATATATATAAGAAAAGTGTTTGTCATTTTAAATGACATAAAATTATGTCATTTTAAGAGAGAGATAGACACAACAAAATATTCTTTTATTTAAAATTTAAATTAAAAAAAAATCACTCACTTTCTTTCCCATGATTTTCATTTATTATGTCTATCTCTCTTAAAATGACGTAACTTATGTCATTTAAAATGACAAACACCAAACACTAAATACATTAAATATTTTCTTAGTAAAAACTTGTTTTTAACATAACTTATATTGATTTATGGAATAGTGTAAACTAAAAAGTCTTGGGGATCGATTGCTATTATTAGTGGTAATGCTCGTGATATGTCTATTATCTTTGTATAAAACAATCTTCTCTTTTCGATAAGCTTTCCAAAAGCAAAAAAGAAAACAAAAAAGGTGGATAGTTGGGAGGTTCTAAAGAGTCACATTAGATTCAATAATGACATTTTTCAAATTTACGTTGACACATTTTTCATATACTTTAATGTAATCCTATTTTTAAATATATATTTTTAAAGGGTGCACATTAGGCACATAGATTTGACGAAAACCAAGGAAGCAAATTTTGGATGCATCTGTATCTTTTTATTTCTTGCTATAGTGGTGAAAATGAAAGAAACTAGTTAACCGAAAAGATGAGAATGAAACGCAAAATAATAGAGGCGTGCTAACTTTCAAAACGATGTACAAGGCGTGTCGTTTGGCGTTGAAATAGCAAAATATTAATTCCCTCTTGGTTTGTTTCTTCCGTTTTCCGCATTTCTCCACTATCATTTTTATTTGAACTGCAATAGAATTTAATCCCAAAACGCAAAAATGAAAAAAAAAAAACTATAGTTGAATCGAGTTTGCGTTGTGCTTGATTTGTTTCATTCTATTCTTTCCTTTGAACTGAAGGTAGCAGTAGTACGGGTACTGAATTGATGGATCTGAGAGGCTTCGTGATATTAGTGGGAATACTTGTTGTGGAAATTGCGAATGGGAATTTAGTGTTCCCGGTGGAGCGTCGGAAAACGAGCTTAAGTACAATGAAAGCTCACGATGACCGTCGTCGAGGTAGATTTCTTTCCGCCGTGGATCTCAACCTTGGCGGCAATGGTGGCGCTACTGAAACTGGGTTCGTTTTTTATTTTTTTATTTTTTTGTGATTTTTTTATTTAATTTAATTACCATTTATTAATTATGATTAAACATACAATAATTATTTGGTTTAGGCTTTATTTTACAAAACTTGGACTTGGATCTCCTGCAAAGGACTACTATGTGCAAGTTGATACAGGAAGTGACATTCTATGGGTGAATTGTGTTGAGTGCTTAAAATGTCCCAAGAAAACTGATCTCGGTGTATGTATCTTTTCAGCTTCAACTTCAGAATCGCGTGTAACTTGACCCTTTAATTATGTTCATCTTAGCTAATTGAACTGTTTTTGCTTTTTGTTACTTACTACAGATAGACTTGATTCTCTATGACCCAAAGGGATCCAAAACTTCAGAATTCGTTTCTTGCGAACAAGATTTTTGCTCTTCCACTTATGATGGTCCAATTCCTGGTTGCAAGTCTGAAAATCCATGCCCGTACAGCATAACTTACGGAGATGGAAGTGCAACTACTGGATACTATGTTAAGGATTATCTTACTTTTAATCGGGTCATTGGTAATCTCAACACTGCACCACAAAATAGCAGCATCATTTTTGGGTGAGAATAATTACTAATACTTCACATTGTTTATATATTGGTGACTTCTGACAATAGTTTTCAGGTCAATCTTGTCTGCTGTTAAAGTTGTAGAATTGGATTAAAAGTTCTTATTCCCACTTTTAGTGTGTTATTTTTTGTTTAGAAATATTTAGCTTCCTAGATTGATAAAGAATTGAAGAAGAAAGATTAACCTTTTTGCACCCCCGTGTTTTATATCTCTCTGGGTATTCTCTTGCTGACAGGTGTAGCAATGTACAATCTGGGACATTGGGTGCATCTTCTGAAGGAGCCCTGGATGGAATAATTGGTTTTGGACAAGCAAATTCTTCTGTGCTTTCACAGCTTGCTGCTTCTGGAAAGGTGAAAAAAGTATTTTCACACTGTCTTGACACTATTCGTGGTGGTGGAATATTTTCCATAGGGGAAGTGGTGGAACCCAAAGTTAATACAACTCCATTGGTACCGAAAATGTATGTGCAGTAACTTAGTCTTTTTTTTTTATGCTGTCATATTGGTTATCATATAAATCAAAGGGAAAATTTAGCAGTCATGCAATACTGAAACTATCAATAATGAAATATCTTTATATAACCTCATTTCATGTTCATAAAATTTTTAGTTGGCTTGGTTGTTCTGCAATTGATGTAGAGAGGAGTACTTAATATTCATTGAATACAGGAAGTTTGCTAGAATACTGGATGCACATGCTTCTTTTTATCCCAGTTGGGCAACTTTATTAGATTCAAGCATTTTATGTAATGAATTTATTTTGCTATTTAAATAATTCAGAAAATGAAGTAATAAAGATATTATTTTAAAGCCAATGTTATAAATGCGTGATGTGAGGAATAAAGCCTTTACACAAATCATCTCTAATGGATTTTTGTTTGTATATTACCATCAAATATATTGCTTTACATCAATTTCAAAACTGTGAGTGAGTTAAGCTAATCAATCTTTTCAAGTTTCTTATTTCTTTTTTTTTCCCTGTGCTGGATCTTGTTGGGATTATTTTAATTTTAAAATTGTAAAAATAAAATAAAATTGGCATATATGAAATTTCATCTCTATCTCTCTGGCTATTTGTTATATGTATGGTAACTCCCTTTGTTTTCTGTGGTCCCCTAGAAGAGCAAATAAGTCCCATATACCACAGAAAGAAGGTTTCATTTACTGCTTTTTTGTTGCTTTCAAGGCCTTCTTTTTTTGTGAAGGCATATTCATCTGAGGCTTCTGGTTTAAGCTGTAAAACTTTCCATGAAATGTTCTTTCAGATTCTTATATTGTATTTGATACAAGTCAATAATAATAAATAATAATCGAATTGGAGGAGCGAAAAGCCAGGATGGCTTGGTAAGCAAGCAACCTGTTATGTAGGCGCCAACTCCCATTTCTTTCTCTTCTTTCTTTTTGAATGACAGTTCATCAAAACAATTGCTAGATCGAGCACGCGACGCGCATAGATAGTCTTAAGTTCAAGAAGTTCAGGTCTTTGGGATTGGAATTATGCCATAACTGTAGTCTGTTGACTATTATAGGGCACACTACAATGTGGTTTTGAAGTATATTGAGGTTGATAAGGATGTTCTACAGCTTCCCTCAGATATATTTGATTCTGGAAATGGGAAGGGGACAGTAATAGATAGTGGAACAACCTTGGCTTATTTTCCAAGCATAGTTTATGACCAACTAACGACGAAGGTACGTGTATCTGTTAAGATTAGTTGAATCAAAATTTCCACTTTTTTTTTGGTGAAACAAAATTTCCACTTTAGTACTTATGATTGTTCTTTATGATAGGTTTTGGCTCGGCATCCTGGATTGAAACTATATCTCGTTGAACAACAATTTACCTGTTTTCAGTTTACTGGGAAGTACGAAACTTATCTTGATGACTTTCTTTTATTGGAAATTTACATTTCTCTGTTATATTTAATTAGTATTGTTTGCTAATATTAATGTGTGATATCCTATTTGTTTGACTTGTCATTGTTTTTTAATTGACTTAGGATATCACATAATTTATCAGAGATACTAAAGGTTTATTTTCTTGGTTGTTTAGCCCATAGGGTATGGTGACAACATCAGATTTCCGTTTAAATATATCTGTACAAATATCCTAGCTATTGCTGTTTTAATTATATTAGTAATCCAATATTCTGAAACCTGCAAGGGGAAAAAGATTTTAATAAAATAAAGAATGTTTGATTAGGATTCACTTAAGATAACAGAGGCTGTTTAATAGAATTAATTTGTGCACTTAAGCAAGGATGAAGTGAAAGTATTGGGTCCTATCAGGACTCTGTTTAACAGACAAATTACGCCAATTCCCTTTCTCAGTCCTTTTCATTTTCTTTTTGGGCTTCTGTATTACTTTATCCTTTTTCCTTTGTTTGTGAAGGGAGTGGGTTGGATGGTCATAGACAAAAAATCTCATGTATGATTGTTTTAAGTAGACTAGAAGTATATAATTATAAACATTTTGCTGCTACATTTACAGAGAATTTTATATTACAAAAGAATCATCTGTTCAATATGATTTTCTTTTAAAATAATGACTGGGTATAAATTGTTCAAATGATATTCTGGTAATTAAAATGCATTTTACACTTTGAGAGTTAAATTTCACCAGTTCAAGAAGGCAGCAAGTGCACTTTTAATTGTCTGGCATATGCAGCCCTTAATTTGTTGACCTTTGTAATCTTGCAGAGTGGATGATGGATTTCCAGTTGTCAAGCTTCATTTTGAGGAATCTCTTTCTCTGTCCGTGTATCCTCACGACTACCTGTTCGAGTATAAAGTGAGTTGCAACTTTGGTGTTTGTTGTATATGAGTATATGTACTAGCTTCTATTTAAGGAGCTTTGTAGATGCTAGATACTCAAGTACCCAAATGACAAATATGTTTGATATAATCTTAATCTGTTGTCTGAACTGATTTCTCCCTCTCTGAAATGTGCCTGGGTGTGCCGTGTGTTTTATGGTACATGCTTATTAAATGCCATATATAATCTCTATAGAAACATTCTGTAATTGTAAATTAAAAGGTCTGATTATCTATCTAGAGTATTTTACTGATATATTATGTATTTTTTAAATTTATTGTATAATATCTCAATTTGATAAATATGTTACTGGTATTTAATTATGGTGTTTCTTGATACTATTTTGGCCTCAACTTTCCCTCAGGATGGTATCTGGTGTATTGGCTGGCAGAAAAGTGTGGCACAAACTAAGAATGGAAAGGACATGACCCTTCTTGGAGGTACAGTTTAGAACTAAACGTCACTTATAAATTACTCCTGTGGCTTCTTCTAAGTTTAGTGAATGCTCAATTTGTCAACTAAGTTCCCAGTTGGGTCTTTTTCTGATTTTTAAGATATTAGGGTTATTAGATTATTAGTCTTATTATTAGTGGGCTTGGGCTTCGACTTGTACTAGTAGTGCTAGTACTTGTGACCTAATTATTAGTATGGATAGGAGAATTAGGTTAGGGTATTATTTCACGTCTTATCAATTATCAATAATATATTCAGTGTTATTATTGTTAGCGGCCTTCTTTTCTTTTCTTTTTTCCTTAACCCTAAACCTATAATTCCAACCCCGATAAATGTTTGTCTTATAGCCTTTAAACTGTTCAGCTATGTGTTGAATTAAGAACTTCTATACACTTACATTTGGACCTGGTGGCTTTCCTGCTGTGTGTGTGTGTCTGACTGATGCTGGTTTTATTCATTTTGAAAATCATTGCTAACTAATGTTGGATGTCAATATCATTAACTTTGAATTATTTCCAATTGCAGATTTGGTTCTATCAAATAAACTAGTTGTATATGATCTTGAAAATATGGCCATTGGATGGACTGACTACAATTGTGAGTACTAAGTAGCCTTTCATAATTTTTTTCCTACTTCGTTGTATGGTTTGTTTAATATAACCCCCCGTTATATATTAATATGTGGAATGTAAAATCAAAGGTCGTGTCAAGTTCATATCACCTTAGATAATCTCTCTATCTCTTTTTTTACTACATTGATGACGCTCAGGTTCGAACCTAAGATCTCATACCTAAGACCCCATGCAAACTACCTAAATCCGTATCACTAAATCAATCCTAGTAGCTTTTGATCATCTCTTTTGGTACTCTTTAATTTGAATCAATTTCATCATTCCTAGCCTATCACTACTCCTGCTTGAAATGTTTTCCTTTTTATGACCATTTTTTATTTATGTATTAGAAAAGTAAGAAAGGTTAATTAATTTAAGAGAGCTTGACCAAAAGAGGCTTCGTTTGTTAGGTTAGCTTCTATTGGCTTTTAGGGTTAAATTTGTTGATATTGATGTATGCTAGAATAAGTTTTACAATTGTGTTGTTGTTTCTTTAGGCTCTTCCAGCATTAAAGTGAAGGATGAAACGACTGGAATAGTACATACAGTGGGTGCACACAATATTTCTTCAGCTTCTACATTTTTAATTGGAAGAATATTGACGTTTTCTTTGTTGCTAACTGGCATACTAAACAGTTTTATTTACTTGGTTTTGATATGAGAGATGTCATTCATTTGATTTTGTTGTACCATAATTATTTGAATGATAAGGTGTGTAGTGTGCTTAATATGGTATAATTTTACCCCCCCTCTCCCTCCCCCAACAAAAAGAAAAAGGTTGAGAAAGGAGCGAAAGATGCATGTTGCTATTCTTGTGGTGTTTTTTAATTTGTTAGTGTTTTCAGTAACTATTTTTGTGTTATTTTTTAAAGGAGGAAGGTATAATGGCTTGACTTTTATGACGCTGAATATTGCCATTCATACAAGAGTTAGTTAAAAAAAAAAAAAAATTACTTGCAGCAATCAACAAACAATGTCGTACAAATTTAAAGTTTCACCAACGTTACCTTAGTACATTCTTATCAGACTCTAAAAGTAAAAGATGCATTTAGTATTTGTAATCACATTTTAAAATATGGATCTTTGTAACACGAGCTAAGCCCAAAGTGTATGGGTGGCATTTGGGCGGGCTAACATTTAGTCCTGAAGGTTGTATTTGGAATCATCAAAATTGGAAATGTGCAACTCAAGAAAGTACTGAAGATGGACTGATGCAAGCTTCATAATCATGTTCTTTTGCTTGTTCTTTGTCATGTGTAAGAGTGTGCGAAATAATCAAAAAATTGAATCGAATCATGAACCGAACTGAACCGAATCGCCTTTAAAATAATCGATTTTTAAAAATCAGTTCAGAACCGAATCAGTTTTTAAAGAACCAGTTCATGAATTGAATCGATTTTTAGAACCAGTTTAAGAATCGAACCATTTTGAACCGAACCAAATCGTTTTCGACCCCAACATAACCATTTTCAAATCAAATCAAATTGATTTTAATAACTTTATTTTTTAAATTTTAAATTTTTTTTTCTTTTCAAAATAGGGTCGACCTAAACTGGTTCTGAACCTGATCATTTTCAACTGAACCGAACCACTTCCGAACTGAACCAGTTTTGAATTGAATCATTTAAATTAATTCGGTTCAATTTTTCAAAAAATTCGATTCGATTCGATCAATGCACATCCCTAGTCATGTCTAGAGGCTAGTTTGAGCTGGCTCTGCTGCTTTTATTTTATTTTTTTAATTGCCCCCGGCTTGTTTTGAGTCCGAGCGTTAAGCAATTAAACTATCTATCGTTAAAAACAATATCAAACACCCAAAATATTATAGACTTTATAACAATAATCTCAGTGTCCTTTGTGGAATCAAAAGAACCAGCACTACGAAAGGCCGAAGTCCTCCCAAGTGAACATATAAATTTATAGTATCGCAGGGAGAAAATATTTGCTTGTAACTTTGACAAAAAAAGCAAGCTAATAGGTTATGATAATAACTGGTGAATAGTGAACATAAATTCAGACGATGACAAAGCAGGCTTTACAAAGTTGTTTTCAGAATTCAGTGTATGTATCATGCCCCTCTTTAATTAACGAGCTTTCTTGATTTGAATCAAATTAAGTTCTTTTTATTTATTAATTAATTTCCAAGCGACAATGAAATAGAAGATACACTGAAAGACTGTTATATCAGAGTACTCCTTTTGGAAGGAATTAGCTCAACTGCCTCTGCTTCCCTCTCCAAGGCTCCACTAGAAGAAGAAAAAAATTGTCTCTTTTAATATGACATATACTATATCATATTGATCTATTTTCGTGAAAAGTGTCTAGAGGAGGCAGAGGGAGGGCCACCAATAAGTGATTCATTGGTTTCAACGCCTTCGTTAATGGCCAATTATTGCATTGGCGTCATATGCCACTATTTTTCCAGCTAATAAAGTGCCCTTTTGTCACCACAAAGCAGATTGCAGTGGAGAATGGAGAGCAGTGGAGAATTTTCGGGGAAAGACTGTAATTAGAAGACAAAAGTGTAAACATCTTAGCCAGAATAGAAAAAAATGATAGCGGATTTTTTTACGTGAAAAAATGATAATGTGATCATGTTATTTGATCATAATTATTTATTTAAAAATTATAAACCTTTTTTTTCTTTTATCTTATCATTAATGAATGATTATGATTAAAAAATATGATTACACGATCATTTTTTCGTACCAGAGTATCTATATTAAGAAAAAATTGATTGATGGGACGCTTTGTGACAAGGAGGCACAGGGTCGTTGGATATATTTTCAATGTATGGTTGTAATAGTGGAGGTGAGATTTGCTGAACAATTTAATTTCACGAGTTTTTTTTATCGAAAATATGTTCATTATATTGTGTTGTGTAAAACAAAAAGAAATATATGAAACCTATTAAGGAAAAAAAAGACTTAACTCATTTTTTATTTATCTCAGGGTCGTTTTTTTTTTATATATATTTCAATATTTGCAAAAAATAAATAAATCTATAAGCAGCAAATGGATGACCAACCTTGGTTGCACTTCAAGACATTACGGTCAATCGGTCATTAACTCATTAACATCCATGAAATCCTTGACAACAGCGGAAAGAAAGCCACGGGCTCCGGTTTTTAATAAAATTTTTTTTGGTATATACGGAGGGTCTTAAGCCAAGAAAAAACACAAAAAACAACTGCAAGTAATTATTTAGTCATAAGAGATAAATGATTACAAAATAACAAGGGATTATTTATTAAAAATAATTGCAAATGATAGATATTTGATAAGATATTTTGTTGTCCTCTTCTATATCATAATATTTGTCAATTTTGATTAATGCAATAATAATTCGGCATTTGACAAATATAAAAGTTACTTATTCATGTTGTTGAGTAAATATTACTATAGTCAACCAAAAAAAAAAAAAAAAACTATTATAGCCACTTCAGTGATATTATAGTTGGGTGACTAACGGAGGGATACTAATCATTAATGGATCATGAATGAAGGGAGGTGCATACAAAGCAGGTGACTTTGAAATATAAATTAATTAAAGGTTACAAATACTTATTGTAACAAGTGACTTTAACAATCCACCATTGCACCCTTCACAAAGGAGATACGTACACCATAAAACGACCTTTGATTGATATGGAGCACTAGCGTCAAATTCCATTCCATTTAAGATGGATGCATAGCATAACCGGTCCCCCCAACGCACATTCACATATATATCACCGGCCACGAACGACACCACAAATTTTAAATTAATAAAAAGATGATCTAACAAGCTTAATCCTCTTTCCTCCTTTCTCTTTGTAATTAAATTCTTCAAGATGTACCTTTCTTACCCAAATTTTGTTTTGTTTTGCATTCTTGCTCTTTGCTTATTAGTTATTACCTTTCTTCCAATTCCGTCCTCTCTTTTTCTCACCTTTCCTATCCATAATTAGTTTTAATTAAATACTTGAACACTATTCAACCACGAAACTTCTAGCTTCTACATCTAACACACACACACACATATCCCTATCTATCTATATGTCTTGCCTACAAAGTTGTTTTGTCAATTATCTATCTCTCACACCCAAGGAGCAATAAGAGGGGATTATTGATGATGGGTAATCACAATATACTACTGGGCACTGCTATATCACTGTGCATGGTTTTGGGTCCTTGGATCTTCATTGAAGCTGCCCCTCCTGCCTCTCTTATCACAAAACTCCCTGGCTTTCAAGGAACTTTCCCGTCCAAGCACTACTCCGGGTATATGCAATTCATAACTCTTTTTTTTTTTTTTTTTTAAAGTAATTCTTGGTCATGAAATTCTTAATTTGTTAAAATACCCAAAATGATGGTGTACTTTTATTTTTTTTAATTATCTATTTAATATTATAATATAATGGATTCATAAGATTGTGATCCCATAACAAAAAATGTAAAGAGATTAATTATTGGGTTCAGATATGTAAGCGTTGATGGAAATAGTGAGAGTGGGAAAAACTTGTTCTACTACTTTGTAAGTTCCGAAAGAAATCCACGGAAGGATCCAGTTGTTCTATGGTTGAATGGAGGACCAGGGTGCTCCAGCTTTGATGGCTTCGTTTATGAGCATGGTATATGCTCCTTTTCCTACTCCATATTCTATTTATGTCGTTCTCATAAAATTTAATAGTTCTGGCATTTTGGGCACGGTCACGGTGTAATATAGCCAACCAATTAAGCCACACCACTCGACTCGGCACTCACTAGCCTAGTTGTTGTTTTTCTTTCTTATGAGGAGTGTGTCATGTCTATATCAAGTTAAAAAGATTATAATGTGAACGTGAAATGGAAGAATAATATTGCATGCAGGGCCATTCAACTTTGAGGCAGCTAAAACGGTAGGGGATCTTCCCACTTTGCATATCAATCCCTACAGCTGGTCTAAGGTTAAGAATCACTCCCCTCAAATTAATCATCAACATTTTTTTTTTTGGTAATAATAATCATCAACATTAACTAATTATGACTGGTGTATATATATGTAATAAAATTTTGTTATTTGTTATTTTTTTTGGTAGGTATTTGTTATTTGTTTTAACTTCTTGTTAGATTAAATTCAGATCAATCTGAAGAATTTGTTCAATATTCATCTCTTCATAATTTAATGATTATTTATACAGTACAACACTTATATGAATTTTTTACCACTATAATGGGCATACGATATATGTATGCTCGAATTTATTCAAATATCACCTGATCGCAGAGGAAAAAAATATTTATGAACAATATCATATGTGTTTAGAGTTTCTCTTAATTAATCTACTGCTGCTAGTTTTTCTCCAATATTTTTTGGCGTTTGTGTTGACTACTCCATAAATGTCTTTTCGACTTAGGTATATATGGCATTCCTTAATTAATGATATGATGTGCTTTGATGTGAGCCATTGGTATTACCTGCTTATGTATACTTGTGGACGTGTATTTACGACTTGACCATTGCCACATAATCTATATTCCTCTTTTATTTATTTATTTAGTCAGCCATACGCATGCATATGTAAATAGTCGAAATTAGCCTACCAAAAAAGAGAGAGTCGAAATTAGTCTATCTTTCTCTTTTATTCCAGCTCTCCCTCTCTTAAGTAGCTAGTTAAGTTTTATGTGTACAGTTGTACACTCAACTCTTCCGTCAACCCAAGAAGCACATTAAGAAAAAAAAAATCCTTAGTCATTTTTTTAATAAAGAATTAATGTTTTAATTGTTCAGAAAATATATATCTTTTTTTTAAGAAATGGATCCTTTCATGTTAAAAAAATATGACATGGTTATGTGAGAAAATCATAATCATACAAAAGTAAATCAACTGTTATGATTTTGTAACTACCTATTTCAATAATTTTTCTTTCTATTCCTTTATCACCATTGATCCACCTTTACATATATAGTTATATATTCTCGATATGATTTTTATTAATTCAGGTTTCCAACATTATTTATTTGGATTCTCCCGCGGGTGTTGGCCTCTCTTACTCCAAGAACTCAAGCAAATACAGTACTGGGGACCTACAAACTGCGTATGATACCCATGCTTTCCTCTTAAAGGTACCAAATTAATGATTATACATGTCTATGACAAATATACGGGAGAAAGCATTACGTAAGTAAATAAATAATATAATTAACGAATATAACATCTAATTTTTTTTCCCTTGGCAGTGGTTTAAGCAATTCCCTGAATTCCTTGATAATCCATTTTATATTTCCGGGGAATCTTATGCTGGAATATATGTGCCCACTCTAGCTTATGAAGTAGTTAAAGGTATTAATATTAATATTATGATCAGTCATATATGGCCTTTGACTTAGTTCCAAACTTGCTCTATATTTTATTTTTATAGAAGACTACTGGTTTTGGATGAAGTTATAACAAACTATTCGTATATCATGCCAGGAATCCGGGGTGGTACTAAGCCCGTGATCAATTTTAAGGTATATAAAAGCTACCAAATTTTCTTTTTAAATAATTTGGCAACTTATTGTTAACTAAGCATAGAAAATTATATTTAGACTTTTCTTTTGTGTGTAGGGTTACATAGTTGGAAATGGTGTCACGGACCAAACATTTGACGGCAATGCTCTTATCCCATTTGTGCATGGGATGGGCCTCATATCCGACAATATCTATGAGGTTACTATGAATAATTAGTTTTTTAGCTAAGTACAACTTTAGTTAATTTTCACATTATTGCTCACCAAAAAAATAAATAAAAAATTTGCACATTATTATTACTTTGCTGGTACTTTAACTTACAATAATTAACTAATTTGCAGGATGTAGAAGCTTCTTGCAAGGGAAAGTACTACAATCCTGAGTCCGAAGACTATAATAATAATCTGTGCTCTTCAAACCTCCAAAAGGTTTACAGGGTGAGATGAATGGAAACATTTTTCCTTTAAAAAATAAAATAACAAAGGTGATATATATTAATATGAAATATGGATTAATGATGAATAATAATAATAGTGTGTATGTGTATGAATATATATGGTGGGTGGTATCAGGCAATTGATGGGCTAAACGTGTACGATATACTAGAGCCATGCTACCATTACCCTACTGATCATGCCAAAGGAAACAAAAGCTTGCCATTGAGTTTCCAGCAATTAGGAACTACCGATAAGCCTCTCCCTGTGAGAAAGAGGATGTTTGGTCGAGCTTGGCCCTTTCTAGCACCAGTCAAAGATGGCCTCGTTCCATTATGGCCCCAACTGGCTCAAAATAAGCATATCGCTTGTACTGTAAGTTACTCATCAATTAATCATTTTCATGCATGTATATACATTGCCAATATTTTGGCACATTTATACAATTTTTAAAAAATTACCCCTATGGTATATATATAGTTTGAAAATTATTTACCAAAGTGATATAGTATGAACACTTTTGAGTATTTGGATCCAATTAGCATGACACGTGTCAGTCACATAGTGATTGATTGTGAGTGTGCCTAGTATAGGTCTGTGCCTAGGATAAGTCTGTGCCTGAGAGGAATGACTAGTTCAATTAAAAAAAAATGAAAAAACTCTTGCTACTACTTTTAAGTTATATTTACAAATTTTTTGTTTAAAAACTACACTAATAATGACCGGTCATACTTCAATCAAGAGTGTATGATCAGTCATACTTAGTGTAATTTGTAAAAAAAGTTTGTAAACAGATCATTCCCCATTTTAAATAGGAAAATGTTTTGTATTTTACCTAACTTATGTCATTTTACCCTTTTATAATTATGTATTTTGAGAAGTACATAGTTATTATATTAAAGTTATATTTTTTTCACTTTTAACGTCAGCCAACAGTTTATGAAGAGAGAAAAAAAAAATACAACTTTAATATTATAATTATGTACGTGTAATTCCAGAAATACATAATTATAAAGAGATAAAAAGATATAACTTAGGTATTTAAAATTACAAACTATTTTCCCTTTTAAATATGGATTATGTGACCAAGATCACATGATGAGCTTTGCTAGTAGTGAACATATATATGGTGATATGAAAATGAAATGATGTAATTGAAGTTGTTTGATTTGGCAAAGAGCAGAGTGATGAAGTAGCAAGTTCATGGCTTAACAACGAAGAAGTCAGAAAAGCCATTCATGCTGAGCAAGTAAGTAATTATCTTTATCTTTATCATCATGATCATGATCATTATCATTATTATTTGATTAAGGTAATAATGAATGGCCTGATAAATTAATATAACCATATATAGGAAAGTGTGGCGGGTCAGTGGGAATTATGCACTGGAAGGATACATTACCGTCACGATGCTGGAAGCATGATTCCTTACCACAAGAAGCTAACCATGTTGGGCTATCGAGCACTTATTTTCAGGTCTCAATCACAACAACAAGCTCCTGCTTGCTCTAATTTGAGAATAATGCTGCTGGATTTCACTTTAATTTTTTGAAGGAATATGAATATGAATATGAATGTGATCTTGTTTAATTAATTTCTTCATTCATTCATTCATACATACATTTATGATCATGGGTTATATGGCAGTGGCGACCATGATATGTGCGTGCCATATACCGGAAGTGAGGCATGGACTCGATCTCTGGGATATACGATTGTGGATGAATGGAGGCCATGGAGCTCTAATGACCAAGTTGCTGGGTACGTACGTTAAATTAAATTAAATATATTATATATATGGACTATATGTGTGGACATACATAACATATCTAATTGTACTCTTTTATTTGCGGCAGGTATTTGCAAGCATATGATAACGAACTCATCTTCCTCACTGTCAAGGTGAATCATAAAATTCACTATAATTAACATGCCCCATTCAACTTTTACATCACATCTCAAGTCGAATTTCAAAATTATTTGAAGTAATTTTTTTGACTGATTGATTATATTGGGTATGTTACCTACCGGATTAATGCAGGGAGCTGGTCACACTGTCCCTGAATATAAGCCACAGGAGGCACTGTATTTTTACAGCCGATGGTTGGAAGGAAAACCAATATAGTTAATTAATTAATTAATACATCAATTTCAAGATAATGGAAGGCTTCATATTATTGAATTTGACACATAACGCCATTACAATCCAGGCTGAATATACTGAACAAATTTTATTCATATATTTCCTGTTTCTTGGTGTGGTCAATTAACTCCATTTCTACATTATTCTATTATGAACTCATTCTTATAACATTTTGGTAAGAGGACTTTCTCCATTATCTTAACAACTCAAACCAAACTATGTAGTTCCTTTCCCCTCTCAACTTTTAAGGGCATTCAGGCAAAACTCATCTGTTTGAGACAACAGTAGAAAAGTGAAAGCTTATATATATGTCAATAAACCTTATTGACTATTCTCACTAACTTTTAATGGGTATTTCATATGTGTAAACATTAAAGAAACTATATATCCTATGATTTTGGTCAAACTTTAATAGAAGTTCTTACTATTAAACTGATCCAGTTCGTGCGAAACTCTAATGTACATCCATGAATATTGATAATGTCTCAATTTGTGCAAATTACAAGATGCAGACATACTTAATTAAAAAGGAAATACTATTCTCCTTTTACAGAAAAGCAATGATTTGTTCTTGCTGATAGAAAAAAAATAAGAGAGAAAAGAGATTAAGATGAGAGTGAAAGTATGACATGGAATCCATCCAATTTTACTATCTGCCGGAATACTATTTCCTTTTCCTGTGGCGAGAGAAGATCATTTCCCTAATTAAAATCATAACAACTATCCTGTCTATCCTTAAAAATAAAAGCTATCAATTGAGTATTGGAAGGGTAAATGCAAAGGAAAGATGCGAAAAAAGTCAGTACCCCATTCTTTATATGTTAATCTCACAAGATGACTTTCCCCACGATCAACGTACACCAACGTTTTGGCTATGTAAGACTACCCAAATTCCCAATTTTATTTCACATAGTTGCCCACTGCTGCTCCCCCTAACGGCATTAGACTTGTTTTTGTGGTTATTGTTTGCAATTGTCATAGACATTTTCCCTTAAATAAAAGCTATCATCTAAGAGAACCAACAGAGGAACAATCCCTGGCACAAAATAAACATCATAGTTAAGAGATTTTTAATTAGTAAACTAGAGAAATGAGAAACAACAACGTAACTACTTAGCCCTATTTCTCTGTGTGGTTTTGCACATTATAACCACTTTATATCAAAGCAAAACAAAGAGGAGAGGGGCACATAAATATAAATATACCTTGTTAAGTCAATCTTTGTCTTTGTATTTACAGGTTCCACATCGTTCTCAACAATAAAATGTAAGTTCTTTATAAACCCCCTGACAATGGTTGTTCATTGCAACTCGTGCCAACTTGTAACCCGAAGGGGGGCAATAAAGTGATGGAATAGCTCCATGGCTTACTTGAGTCGAGACTTGGCACCTGGGCGAAGGCCTGAGTGTCAGCCTCCTATACTGGCTGGTTTCACATAGCAGCGAACAACCTTCGGGTCGCCGCGCCAACTGTCCACAATGCCCAGTGGGCCTCGCTTGCTGGACCATCACTTTTCTGAAATCATGCATATAACCAAGCTCTTAACGCAGATAGAGATGTCAATGTCACAAGTTCAACCTCATACCCATAGCGACAGGGGAGTTGTATACAAGGAACAAATAAATGTTTAACTTAAAATAATTTGAATGTCATGAGACATATATTTCAGGTTAACTACGGAAGTAAAGCATAATAGATGAACCCTATATTATATTTTAATACTTTCTTCATTACTGGGTGAAATTTAATAAGACTCGCATTCATTAAGTAATAAAAATGTTAAACAATATATTATTAACGTACCTTAACTTATAATAATGGTATATCAATTTAATATTTACTTATTTCATTTAAGAAAATTGTTCTATTAGTTGTTTGTAAAGTTAATAAAGAGTTTCCCTACTTAATATTTGATTAATTAGATTATTTATTTTAAAAAAAAAAATACATGAAAATAGGAGACTCTTCTCTTTCTAATGCAGCCATGGACGCTGTCCAGCGACGCCTCATGTTCCCTTTCCCTTTTCATCTCTCGTTTTATATTATTGTTACTATTATTTTTAAAATATATTTAGTATTTAAATGATTTTTCATCTCCTACTAATTATACTAATGCACCTTTATGTCTCCCTGTTTTGTATGAAATCGATAAGGTAACTGGATGATAATTTTATTTCATAACTTCCCACATTTGAATTTTAATGGATGAGAATGACCGGGTGCTTGGCCACCCATTAAAAAATTCTTTTGTGGAGGTCATATTTTTATATTGTGAGGGTCTTTGACCCCCCATAAAGTACATTTGTGGCATTCTCAATAACTCCCAGTTTTACTTACGTCACAACATATTTTGTGGAGGTTTTATGTGTAACGCCACAATTTGTTGAAATATTTTTTGGAGGCTGCTAACCCCCACAAATATTTCAGTTTCTGAAAGTTTAAGACCCCCACAAATTTGTTGAAAAATTAAAAAAAAAAATTAAAAATTTTACATTTCTTTTAAAAAATCAAGTAGATTCAAAAGGATAAAAAAAAATTCATTCCAAATATTTGAATACATATCTAAATAGAACTTGATTTTCAAAGATAAAAAAATCAAAGAGATGTATAAATGAAATTAAAAAATAAAAGTTATTAAAAATTAATAACTTTTCATGCAGTATTGTTATCTTATAGTTTTGTATGTGGTTATTAAAAATTTGAAGATTAAATTTTAAAAATTTTAATAAAACCATATGTATCTTACGTAAGATACATATGTTTTTATTAAATTTTAATATACAAAATTTAAAGATTAAAAATTTTGTATATTAAAAATTTCATAAGATAAAACCATATGTATCTTACGTTTCAGTATTCTTTAATAACCATATGATACAAAAGTTATTAAAGAACCATATGCAAATTTAATCTCCAAAAATTTCTCTCTCCACTATGGATTTGCTATAAAATTACAGTGCTTATTAATAGTTACAACGAGAGGGCTGCACAAAATTCGTCAAATGCAATGGGGTGGGTGAACAAACTACTAAATCAACAAAGATTTGAATACACTAGAGCCATGACAACAGGTCTAGTCTGATTCTCCAGAAAATGTTTGTATGTCAACTTGTCACTCAGCAAAACTTCCTAAATATATAGATCAGTCACAAGTTCCATAGATCCGAGTTTGATTCAGATTCTTCTCCCTTTTTAAGGGATGCAGTGATGACCAGTTGACTGAAGCAAATGGCTTTCCCTAATTGGAAAAAACTTCATATAAAGGACCTGAGAAAGTTATTTACCAACGAGCTTATAGTAGGCGTATAAACCAGAGCCAGCAAAATCGAGAAATTGACCAGTTACATTCCACTGAAACCAAATCAAAACACATTATATAAACAGTAAAAATATACTCAATTTTTTTTTGAAGATTAAATATACTCAATTGTTCTATCAATACACACACATATATACTCTATCGGGAACACAAGCAAGGACAAGAGCACTCACAAAATCAAATGGTAGCCCACCAAAAATTATCCAGCCAAGGCCAATAGTAAACAGATCCTAGACATTAATACAGAATAATTAGAATTCAATCATAAGCCTATATATAACAATCATGACATCAATATGTTTACCTGGTTATAAAATGATACCCATCAATTAGTTTACCTCCCTCATCAGTTTTCCATTTCCACCATTGCAAAACAAAGCTTCAAGGTTAAGTGAAGATTTGGAATTAAATAGTAAGAAAATAAAATAGAGAACATATTATTTTATTTAATATGGTAGTGGTGTTTTTGTGTTAGCGTTATGATAGACACTACTGGTTACCGGTTACTGGTTAGTTGAGTTGAAATCATGTGAGGACAATGAGTGCTAGAACTCGGTGGCTATTTTTTTTGGAATTATGCTTGCAAAACAAAGCTTCATTGTTAAAGATCAAGTTCTAAACCTGAAGGATCAAGTAAAAGCTTTGAAATTAAATAGTAAGAAAATCATGCAAATAAAATAGAGAACATATTATTGATTAAAGTTTCATAAAAATTGAAGAAAATACCCAAAATCAAGTCACGTTCACAAGCAAAAACAACACATATGGGAAGACACAACTAAAATTAACACCCCTCGTAGGGGAAAAACAACATAATCCAAGCAAGAGAATAAATTAAATTTTGTAGTAGCTGAGATGATGGTAACTATACCTGTAATGTAAAGGCTGTGGTTATTATTGCCAAAGCAAGAGAACCTGTCTCTTGGAGGTTGAAGTTGAGGTCCATTTTGATACCCATAATCCAAGCAACAATCACACATAAGGGAACCTATTTTGTAATTAAATTTTCTTGATGTAAGCTTTCATTAATCCAACAACAAAGCAAAATTGAAACATCCATTTGTTATTTTTAAAAGGTGAATTCTTACCACAAACATGCTAATTTGAGTTGCAGAACCCAAAGCAACACCCAAAGAGATGTCCTGAAGAAACATCATTATTCATTAGGTTAGGTTCAAGCAAATTATGTCAAATAAAAAGCATGGAAGATAATGTAAGCAAAATATGCAAACACCATCACTACGCTAGCAGCTCTAGACAGCCGCAGAGATGAGTCTGAAGTGCTAGCTGTCGAGGCGCCACTATATTTGAACAGCATTGGCAGCAAGTGACACAAAAATGCCATAAGCAGCATAAGCAAGTGTTGGGAAATTCGTTCCCTCAAACTCCAATGTCAAGCAGGTCCAGGGGAAGCCCGTGGCGGGGAACCACCACCAATGAGCTAAGGCTACACCAACCGTAGCAAGTGGATCCGACACCATGTCTCAACCCAAAACCTTAAGGCATTGGGTTCATGGGTCCTTTCACTTATATACTCTTCACTTAGCTTATTACCAACCAATGTGGGACTCATCACACTTGAATATCTCAACAATCTCCCCCTCAAGTGTGAAACCCACCATTGGTATGCTCCCCCTCAACCGAGTACCCGAAGCGCAAAGTACTCGACCCGCCTCCTAGCCAATCACTAGGCTAGCTCGAGCCCAATCCGGCTCTGATACCACTGTTGGGAAATTCGTTCCCTCAAACTCCAATGTCAAGCAGGTCCAGGGGAAGCCCGTGGCGGGGAACCACCACCAATGAGCTAAGGCTACACCAACCGTAGCAAGTGGATCCGACACCATGTCTCAACCCAAAACCTTAAGGCATTGGGTTCATGGGTCCTTTCACTTATATACTCTTCAC